AAAAAGAGTCATTTTATATATAAATTTTTCTGACTTTAATTCATTAAACGTAGTACGAATTTTTAATTACTAAATTCAGTATAGTAAGGGTTTTTTTATATTTAAAAATCTGTCTGATACTGAAACTCTGTTGTATTGTAAAATTCATTATATCAAAATTCATTGTAGAAAAAGTTGACTGTATATAGTTTATATGCAATTGTGTGATCATGTTATAAATTAGAATATCTAAATATTTCTTACTGCAAAAATATTATCGATAAATCTTTGTTTGAAATCGCAGGAAATTGTCATGATTTGCAAGAGTTTTATTTGCTGATGCACGTTGAATCACAGATAGATCTATAAGTTGCATCTTAAACTCATGCCTAAATTTACAAAAACTTGATATTGTGTTTAGTCATGGAGATATCAAAGATGCTAGTACTTTAATGCGAAGATGCTTCAATATAGAGTATCTTGACTTTAATGGGGTTATGTCTTTGCAGAATGATGTATTAATTATAGCTATTATCAAACGATCTCTGAATTTAAGATATTTAGAGATCAGTCATAATAATATTGGTGATGAGGTTATTGAAATGCTGGCTTATACATGTTATAAATTAAAGCATTTTGAGCTAGATAGTTGTTCATTTGTTAGCGAACTATTAGTTTGTAATGTTATACGTTCCTACCTAAGACTCCAGTATTTCGAACTCAGATACTGTAATATTATTAGTACGACTATCAGAAAAATTGCTCGCTTATGTTTCAATTTAAAATTTCTAGATTTGGATAGGTATGAAAATATTAGCAAAAAAGCCATGAACCAGCTAAATCCAAATATTCATATCGAAAATTTTGATGAAGAATACTGCTCTGATTCAGAATCTTCTAACTCTGCTCTGAAACTGAATCAAAGGATGAAGATGTTTATAGTAATAATGCATCTCTCTGATAATATATATCACTGACTACATCCTAATCTATATACAGTCGTCCTTCCTTATAGTCACAGACCTTGAGACCACTAAAAATCGTGATTATAAAGAAGTGTACTTATATAGAAGTTTTCTAAATTTATAATTTTTTTATAATTTTTTATAATTTTTATAAAAACTTATAATTTTTTCATTTTTAAAATTGTCATTATTTCATAAATTTATCTTGTTAGTAATTATAATTATGTTAGATTATGTACTTTTTTTTTCTCTTTTAAATGAATCTTTTTTCATAAAATT